AAAATATTGTCCCATAATTCAGTTTTGATAATGTATCACCTGTCCTTCAATTGTTTATTAACATTTGCCTAGTGTATCACTTGTTTTGAATTGATAACGTTACCGTATTTTACTTTTCATTAGACTAACTCTTTTCGCACAGGGATTACTACTTCTTCTTGCTGAATTCTGCAATCCGGGTGGAAATGGAGTATTGTTCCATTTCGTCGACGGATTATCTAATGCTTCCTGTCTATGAACCCTTGAGAAAATCTAGCATCACGCACCAGCTGTTCGGAAGTATGAACGAATTTGTAATAAATGGCAAGGGAACCGTTTGCATACATGGGTGCTGTTTGTCATCGTCAGATGCGAGCAGTCGAGAGGGTCATTACGCCAGTCGCCACGGAGTGAGGGAGGACATTCATAAGGGACAGACAGGAGTAACATCCGTCGGATTGCTGCAGAGCGCCATTGCAATCACTTGTTCATTTCAAAAATCTGCGATTCCTGTTGAGCTACTGAAGGAGCTGCTTCAGGAGGCCACTACAACGGTTCCTGACAATGACTCCATCGATGAATTATTCAAGTCTTATACATTCTCAGATCGCTTGACGCGCTGCCATTCCGTGGGCCTGCTGCCCTGTTGCTTTTCACGAAAGTCTACCTCTTGCGATAAATGCAAGTAGAAAGTAATTACTGTAATAAACGTAAATCTTTAGGTAAGTCACAAACGGGAAGACAACGCATAAAATAGTCTTTAATTAGAGACATCTGACTTCTTGGACCAAGCTCGATCCGTCTTCAGAGTATGGTCCCATCTTGATTCGAAACTTCAGATGTCTCTAATTAAAGACTCTTTTATGCGTTGTCCTCCCGCTTGTGACTTACCTAAAGATTATATCACCTCCTGCATAAAGAAGTCATGTACGATTTTCAATAAACGTAAATTTTGATAAATGTTTTTCAAATAAGTTAATTCCTGTCGTCATGCAGTGCAGCTAAACGAGTTATTTCTCAAATCCCGCCATGGGTTCGATCAGTTCTTTGAAATGAGAAATGTGATGAGGAAAGGATTCATGCTTCAGGAAAGGGAAACGGTGTATGAACCGACCCATGCGACCCTTTGCTATTGCCCTCCTCTCAGAGGAGCTCAGATATATAGCGCCTATACAATCATAACAGGTATTGAATGATACATGATGTTACACTGCATTAACCGGTCATGCACTAGGCTTAATACTCTTCCAGAGTTTTTAGTTGGGTTACCGTCACAGAACCCCGTTGTCATCCGTATATTTTATCAGCTTCAAGACATCTACAAAAGGATATTCAGGCTGAAAGCGATGAACGTTTCGCCTCACTGCACGAATAGGGTCATGGATCAAAGATTTCGTTGTTGCTGTTCTTCTCCTGTGAATAGCACGGTTCAGGAATCGTCTTGAAAATGGTGCGATGCATTGACCTTGTAATATGAATGTCACGTGTGCTGTGAAAAAACATATCGGCCGTACTTCGAGGATAACGATAGTTCACAAAAGCATGAGAAAAATGAATGATGGCCAAGAACCTCGAAATGATTCGTTTCTGAGGCACTGGTAACCAGGGGCTGACGTACTTATCCCCTTACAAGTCAAGGGTTGGTCTACGAAAACAGTGATTAGACCAAGAATTCAAGTATTGAAGGCAATCGTTTCCATTCTACGACCATACATAGCGTTGCGCAGCAAACCATATTTGAGTTGCATGTTTCCGGGCTGTGATGAAAGCCAAAACACTTGTTTCACTTTCCTGATTTACGGCTTGTTGTTGATTGAGGGGTTTCGCCCATGAGGTGTACGTACGGTGATTTTCAGGCAGAGTAAACCACCAGTGATCTTGAAAGAAAGTAGAGACGATGACTAGCCACACAAGCATCCCTCTGCAAATCAAGATGGTAGCATCATTATCAGCCGTTTTCGAACTTTTCTGAGACTTTGTCATAAACTTCTGTTTTCTGCAATTTTTATCGATCTTGATCAGGTAATCCTCTTATCAATCAGGATGACTTACTAGGGTCCATTATTTTTCTCTTGAAACCCAGTATAAGGTATTTCTTGTTCAACAATGGTCGGTTTTTCTTGCAACGGGTGGTACACATAACCAAGTTAACGAATTCACTTTGGCAGTGACATCGCAGATGCCTGTTCGTATGTTTACTCATTTGTTCGTCTTGCCATTTTTTGTTGTTATTCTGAACATACAAGGCTCTTACACACCCTGTTCGAATTTGGTGCTGCCAAACATCGTCTTAGCTTTAAAATTGAAATTCTTTTGGTTTGTCATATGGAATGAATTTTCATCCAAGGCTCACTAATGCTCTAAGCTGCATCCATTCATCTGATTGATATTTGGTATACGACGTTTACAGGCATATCATAGATCCGGATTTAGGTCTGAAAGCCAGGACAAGATTTTGAGATTTGACATGCACTACAGCTATGCTATCATTTGAACAAGGAACAGAGACGTATCTGCTGCAAAAACGGTTTTTCCATCACCAATGCAGTAATAGATGCTATACAACAAACGTGCCGTTAAACTGCAACTGCAGGGGTATCAAAAGCCAGATCTGTTCTGCTTATGTACGTAACTCAAGCAGAAATTGGCCCGCAGTTGCAGAGAGAGTGTGTAAGGAATTTCATTTATGTATATGGTATGCACATACACACACCGTCTTCTCATATGATTAACGTAAGAGCTGATATTCTGCTCTTACGTATTTAATAAATGTGTGAAACAGAGGCTAAGAATGCCTAAGAATTCGTGACTGAGGCTGTTTCTGCATAAATTGGAAAAACTGGAAAAACTCATCTTGTCCTGTTCCTAGCCCATTCGCTTGGAAGTGGTGTAAGAGCACTCCCTGGTTGATTGAAGCAGTGATGCCGCACGGTGCTAGGCTAATGCTATATATATATATATAGTACTTCGCATCGTCGCGTCCGCTGGGCTGGATACTTAACGAGGTTGGCACTCTGAATCGACAGCCAAACAATAACTCACAGAAAGAACGCTCAACAAGGCAGAAGAGCAGAACAGATTCAATTTGCGCTTATGCCGAGGCAACAATGGGAACATGTGAAACGAAGAATGCCCATTCATTCAGTCAACACAATGCAAAAAGTAGTTTGCTGATCTTTCCGAAAGTGTGGCGGCGCGCGAGACGGGGCTGGTTGAAGGTGTACACAATCGGGAATTCCGGCGCTGCTAAAGAGAGCAACCTGCAGACCACCTCAATTGTTATTTATTTTTATTATTTATTGACGCTCGCCTCAATGGCTTGAGATGAAAATGAACGAATAACTGGTTCTACCGTAAAGCGGTAGAAAATGAGCAGTAGTCATTTCCTCCATGAGGCGCTGAAGTGGGTTAACTTGGACTTCCACTTGAAAAATTATGAGGTGCTTTGTACAGCTCCAAAGCAAAGTAAAACTGTGGTTCTTTAAAGTCCATTTCTTCCAAAGATCTACCTGTAAAATCGAACTGCCCTACCCTGGCCCTAACTTTTGAATGGAAAAAAGGGCCGCCTGCAACTGATTGGCTGCCGGTCTCCTTTAAACTTCGATGATTAGGCGCCGTTTTTGACGTTTGTGCCTTTATTGAGTTTTCGATGCTGCGACGATCTCCGTATCTATGGCATCAGCCAAGATTTTTTCCGTCTTTGTTTTAAAGCAATACCTACAGCCTCATAACCATTAGAGTGCTGCCACCAGTACGAAAGGTAAATTAACATCGACATAATTTTAAGCATTGCGTTGCAAACCTACCATCGTATGCTTAATCAAGAACTGTCGCTCTTTTGACTCTAATTAGCCTTGGTTGGGATGAAACTACAGGAATGCACAGAGGTGATGTTAAGGTAAAATGCTAAAGCAACATGTCCGAAGAAAGTCCCGAGAACCACGGTTACGCCATTAGCAAAAAACATGAGAAACTGACAAGTGCTTGGTTACCTGATGCCTTAATAATGTAACTACTAAAGATAACTATTTCCTTTAATGCGAATAACTGCACGCTGATGGTTCAATGTTATCTACATAATCAGGTACGGGTCATCTCGAGGCAGTTGCTTATTTATGAACATGAAACCAATCGACAAAGCAGCCACTGTATATGCCATCTTTACAGTTATTTCTATCAGCTGAACACTAATTTATCAAATAATAAAATTTTCACTTTAGAGACGAAAGAGGCTTGAAATTATCGGCATATATTTTCACTTTTAACCTCCTTGAAACATCATGAGGGTAGTCGCTATTTGAATAAGCGATGTCGCTTCACTGGTAATATCAATCATCGCCTTCAAAGACATGTTACTTCGGGAACGTCACAAAGCATTCGACTAGTAAGTGTTAGTCTTCTTCGTTTCAGCGGGTGAGCTGTTAAGCAGATTATCATGCCTGACAAAGAATAGCACTGATTAGTCGAAATGTTGTCATTTTATCATCGGTAGAATAAAACGTGGTTTAAAGTGAAAGTTTGTAATTGTCGCGGGATGTCGGTCTTTTTACACTTCCGTGTATGGAGGGCCATATGTTCCATCCTTGTCTTCAAGAAGCTTATAATGCGGCATGTTCATTAGTTTCTATACCATCACCCAGGAGTGCTTTGCCATAAAAGCAGACTCAACAGCAACTCCCCTACAAGCATAGCATATGGTATTTGTTTTCCCTCCCACGAAGTGATATTCATTTATGAGCCTCAGAAGGATGAAATGCAAGTTAGCTGACCCCGGCTAGAACTTGTGAGCTGAAGCTCCAACCTTGGCCTGATTTCGGTTATAAGGCATAAGTTACTGCATCATATTGCAAACAACTTCATTCCAAAAAGAATTCTGCTCCTACGTTTGGAAAAGCCGGTGAGAGTTACAGTCAGCTTGTGAAAAATTTTCAATTTTGAGCAGTTCGATCGACGATGATCGCCGAGGTTCATCGGTTGCACGACTTGTCAAAGTTCGCAAAGGTTAAATGACTTAAACTGAATGACTCAAGATATAGCCTGAAGCGGCTGAAGAGGTTAGGTTAATTCAGGTTAATCTGCATTCCTTATTCACACGACTCGAAAACTCGAACCCTCTGGTTGCTCAAATTTTAAATCGTGACTCCGTCTTTGATGCCTGGCCAATAAACCTTAGTAAACGCAGATCAAATCTGCGGATTTGGGCGAATTCTAGATAACGTCACGAAGTCAGACGTAATATTTTTTGTATGATTTAGGCAGCAACAAAAATTAAACTGAAAACTTTTCGTGTCAGCGTGTCGCATACGTTTCATAATGGCGTCAGTGCCGCTCCTGCGACCTCTTAAAAACTCAACGACTTACAATGGAATCGATTACACCATGCCTGAGGGGTGTCATAGTTTGAAGCAAAGCCT